CCCGAAAGAACCCTATAGATGCTGAATCCCTCTTGAAGTGGGTTCCCAGTTTCCCTCCAAAGGGTGTCAATCGAATTGCCGAAGGGTTGCACTGAGGTAGCGGCAAGACATTTACCATCACCGGGGGCACGGAGCATTACGAGCAGCGTGGACTGATCCCCCGGACGCTGAGGTTGATGTTTGAGGCCTGGGATATTAGAGCAACTGACTTGTTTGGTCTATCGTTGGTATGGAGAGGGCGGGGGGGACAGGTTCCGCACAAAAAGCAGGACAAGCTAATTGTCCCCTGTGCTTTCAACAAATTCTATGTGCGAGCCACTGACAATATTGGTAGTCCGTTGCATCTCTGTTTGGAGTGAAACCACCACATTTTGACCTGCACAAGTGCCAGAAAGCATGCCATGCGTATACTAAACGAGACTGAGACCCATTCGCTGATCAGAGTGATGCAGGCATTCCGCAAGGGGCCAGCTCAGTATCGGATGTACATATCCTACCTGGAGATTTACCAGGACTGACCTGCAACATGCGCGCCATGCGCTCAGGCGGCGCTGGTTGATTTTGTTTTCAGGACAGTGGGTATGATTTGCTCCGTGATGACAGCGTGCTTGCCTCAGTTCAAGTTTGGTGGTACCACCCAAACCTTGGCAGTCACATCAGTTCTTGTGAAAATGTAAATTTGTGACTGCAAGATCTTCCATTTGGTTCGGGTCTCTTCATGTGTGCCTCACTCATGAATCATCTTACAGATGACAAGTGCTTATTGTCCTTCCGGCCGTCATGCAAAGGGATAGATAATATTAGGTCAGCTGTTTCAACGGGCTGTCCTCACTGGAGCCACATTATGATAGTGAATGACCTAAAGGTCATAAGGGGCCATGTCAATGATTTACACCAAAGGACCAAAAGAGTTCCGAATTAAACATCACGCCCATATTTGTTTCACTAGGCTACCGTAGTTTGCTACTAGGACGTGGCGTATGCACTTGTAATATTTGGGGAATGCACCCCTGCCTCACGCAATTGTTTTTGTCCCGCACATCACTCACCTTTCGCGGAGCCCCCTTTGTGATGGCTCCCCCAAACAGTGCTCGCCAAGAGGGTAACACGAGAGCAAAAAATACATTGCAGTCTTGCGCTGCCCTTTCTTGATAGAGTACCAACATCCGTTTTGAGACACGTCCCTTTCACGTCCCTGCGATTCGCAGGCTCGGAAGCTGGAAGACTTGCCCAAAGTGGTGCAGCGCGAGGCGCGATGCATGATTGTTTCCCTCCAACCTGGCATGTGATGGGTGATCTTCCGGGTCATTACCCTTCTCCTATATTTGTGGAAAGGGTGTTGTGACGCTTGTCAAACCTTCTTCTTTTGAAACCTCAAGGAAACCAAAAATTTGAAGGCGCCTTTAGTTTTGCCAGAGATACTTTAGCCCATGGCCGGCCCACCCGAATTGCTGCAGCTCAGCGCCCTCAGCATGGCAAGGGCTGGTTTGAGGCTCCACTGACTTAGGCATCAGCGTTCCTGTTTTTGCACGGTGTTGGGTTGGTTGTACCGTTTTGGCCGCTTGGTCTTGATCCACACAATGCTAGCAACGTCATGGGCAATGCTTTTTCATGACTGTGCATTTGGAGGCGCGCGCACACACACACACACACCTGGACATCACTTCCAACACAACGCAATCATTCGCAGGCGTTCCTCAATTAACATCCAGAGGCATCAATTGGGTGTCCCGGATTTTTGGTCGAATTGGTCTCCGAATCCCCGGGCTGCGCGAGGACGAAGATGGGAACATGCACTTGCGTAACCTCTCCGTGAACCTGGCCGCCTCAGAAGAGGCCTTTTGCAAGCGGCGATTGGTCAAAATCCGAATCAATACATTTGGGGGACGGGTGTCAAAGCGGGGCCGTCAAACATGGTGTTCCCTTTGGTTTCCCTCTGAACCTTGCTAAGGCACATCCATTGAGTGCATGTCCCACGGTTTCCCTTTGGAGAAGTGAGACACAACGAAAAGCAAGGCTGTCATGACGTCCAGGAGTTCAGAATGGATGGCTCAAAGACCCAAAGTGGTTAGGGTCTTTGTCTTTGATATGAGCCAAGGTTGAGTTTAAGAAATTCCGCCCTCAACGACCCATGTGGCTGCGATGCGGACGTGTTGGTTGTGGTTGGTTGGTGCGTGCTCAGAAGGCCGTTTGGAGCGCGGCTGAAAGTCCCTCCTCATGAGTGGCCAAGACGCCTTGACCTTTGATTGTGCCTGGCTGCATGCTGCGATTGGTCGCTCCGGTCTTGTTAATGGTTGCTTCCGGCGGGGTGGCTAGCTCTTCCCCCCTCGGTTGGTGGCTTGGTGGGCACCGTCGATGACTTTCTTGAGGCTCGAGTGCCCTTGCTTGGGCCCGCTTCCGTGGGCAGTTCGCTTTAGGGCCACACGTTCTCAACATCTAGACATGTGGCTCATTGTTACAGGTGTTATTGCGCAGCCTTTTGAGGGAGTCTCCAAAACAAAAATACAACTTGGTTGACTCCTGCTGGGATTGTATTTGTTTCCATCTCCTCTACAGAAAAGCGATCGAACGGTTGGTGAATTTCTCGGCCAGGATGCCCTGAATCTCCTATTCTTGGGCGACACAAACCGAGTCGTGGCAGTGACCGACTTAGCACTTCATGAAGCGGAGGTTAGTGGCAAGCAAGACTTGTATTTTGGCTGGGTTGTTCAAAATCAAGCCCAAATCTGTATGCCTTGTGGTGGCGTCATGTGGTGTCCCACTACGGATTACACAATAAGATCCGGCATCCCCCCAATTGAACAACCCAGTTTGATGTTTGTCGCGATAGTCATAGAGAGACCAATTGATCTCCCGAACAGAGACGCAAGTCTGGGCATTGCCGCGTGTGCAAGAGTGCTGAGGAAACTCCAATGAATGATGCGAGTACTCGCTCGCATTGCCTCTTCATCATTTGGGTGGATTCCACGCAGGAAGGCAGCGATGCGGGGGCCCGAGTTCGACAATGGTTTGTTTTCCCATTAAACCGAGGCAAAAAGGGTGCCCTAAAAAAACACGCAAACACCGCCACAGACACACAAACACACAGACACACAGCGCACACACACACACCAGACACAGACACAGATGCACGCACAGATACACAGACACGCAGAGACGCACAGAAACACTCGGAGACACGGAGAGACGCGCACACACACACAGACACACACAGAGAAACAGACGCACAAACACACACAGACACACACACAGACACACACAGACAGACACACACAGACACACACAGACAGACACACACAGCACACACACAGACACACACGCACACACACAGACACACACAGACACACACAGACACAGACACAGACACAGACACAGACACAGACACAGACACAGACACAGACACAGACACAGACACAGACACAGACACAGACACAGACACAGACACAGACACAGACACAGACACAGACACAGACACACACACACACACACACACACACACACACACACACACACACACACACACACACACCACACACCACACACACACACACCACACGCACACGCACACGCACACGCACACGCACACGCACACGCACACGCACACCCACACACCCACACCACACCACACCCACACCACACCACACACACCACACCCACACACACACACCACACACACGCACGCACGCACGCACGCACGCACGCACGCACGCACGCACGCACGCACGCACGCACGCACGCACGCACGCACACGCACGCACGCACGCACGCACGCACACACACACACACACACACACACACACACACACACACACACACACACACACACACACACACACACACACACACACACACACAGAGACACACACACGCAGACACAGACACAGACACTCACAGACATTGGCCAGCCCGCATGTGGTGGCATGTTTGCCGCAATGCTCCGTGTCATGTGCGTGGTCAAAGAAACCGTAATCCCTGGAGGGGGTCCCTAGCGGGTTGGCTTTCATGTTGCATGAGATCCTTTAAAAGGTTGCCTTGTTCGAGTAAGCCCAAGGACGCATTGCGTCCGATTGCATCGAGGTTGTGCGTCGCTCCAAGCTCCACTTGGTGGATCTGGCCGGGAGTGAGCGGGTGCGGCAACTCAGGCATCACAAGTTGGGCTATCCAAGGATGCATGTGAATCGGCTTCAAAGTTACAGTCAATTACTTCATGTAGGAGTGTTTCATGCGCATTGTGACTTTGTACCGCAAACTGCGCATCTCCAAGAATCAAAGACCCGAAGCCTGCCAAGAGCCCTCTTAAAGCAAGCAGCATGGGTGGCGAACCCAGGCTGGCTCTCGCGGCTGACCTTTCCCAAGGTTTCTCAGACTGGGGTCAATGGCAAGCTGCTGCAGGAAGCCAAGGCGTGCCGCTGAACCCGTTCGACCGCTGCCGGGGTGAGAAGATCCGAAGGCCATTCGCAGATACTGAGCTATGGTGCTACACGAGAGTATGGTTTGTTGTCAAAAGTTGGGACCATGAAAAGGGTCGCAGGCTTTTATGAAGAAAGCCCTCATTTGACAAAGTTGTGCCTGAGTTTCAGAACTTCCGTTAGACTTTACTAGGGAAAAGGTTTCGAAGAAGTCGTGTTTTTCCCAAACCGCATAGGACTCAGCAGTCATGGGCAACACTGCATTCAGAAGTATGCTTTTGTATGCTTGTGTGTGTTGTTTTTTCTGGGATGCCCAGGTGAGGTAATTTCAAATCTTTGCGTCAGTTCCGAAGCTTGTTATGCTACGGTTCATGCGGTTTCCATTCCCAAAACGTCTGCTGCTGATTACCTTCGCCTTCCTTTGCGGACGAGTCGAGCAATTGTTTCTGTACAGGGGGGATGGACCACCAAGCGCACACCAGGGTTTTGAATGTGTAGGCGTCGATCAGCCTCTTTCAAAGCTTGTGAATGCATATTGTTGAGCACATGCATTTTTGTTTTAGCCTAGGGTGGTGTGGCAATTGTTGTCTT